TTCTACTATTTAAAAAGAAATAGTAAATACAGTCAACTCCAAATCAATTGGTCCTTAACTTTTGATTTCATCAAACTTGGCACCCTTACTGAAACCTGCTTTAAAGAATCTCGAGCACACTGTAGGAGACTCAAATTTCTTTTTAAACAAATTCTCACAATAGAATTCATGAAAGCAATTCAACCTACTATTTATAACTCAGCATGAATGTGCTATCGTTGTAATACTGACAAAGAATACTTTAATCTCATATGGATTTGTCCTTCATCCATACTTCACGAACAGTCTATCCTCCCGACATTAATTCATTGTTACTTTTCTCACATCCTTTTTGGTCTCTAAAAAAGGATCCTTACAACATTTCGTTCATAGACTTTATCAAAGGCATAGTTCCTATCGCTCTCCTGAAGTTACTTGACTCCTTTACCAACTCTTCTTCTCACATCTCTAAAATCCTTTCCCCCTTTTATGATTACATTTTTGATCAATCTTACAAAGTTATCTGGAAATCTAAGCCCTATTCATTTCTAATCCGTGTCTGATCCTGTTCCCTTGGTCAAAATATTTACTGAATTTTGATTGGCTAGTTGAGAGGATCAGGATCAAGAATAATGGAACTGCAATTTTTTGGATCCATCACTGTTCTGCTAAACAAATCTAACCAAATGTGGTAAGTCAATCAAATTTATTGTGATGTATCATCTCAATTTTGCGAAAGAATCTTTTTTCTAAATGTTCAATTAATGTGTATGTAAATAAATGGACAACAAAAACAACGAAAACCACGAAACTTCAAATTCTAAATCAAATAAAAATAAAGAATATAATTTTTATTACCTTTTAAACCTAACGAGACTTCTTTACCACCTTTACCACAATTAAATATGCAGTTTTTCAAAATCCATATCAATTTAATCAAAGTTTTTTTCCACCTATCCAAAATACAAGAATTCTGACTATAAATTCTATTCTTTTACCTTCAGCTCAACATAAAGATAGTGAACAATTTTATCAATATAATAATATATATAATAAAAATAATAATCATAATAATGTTGTTGAGTTACATCAAAATAAAATTAACAGTTTATTGGAAAATAAAGTAAATGACAA